CAGTTATTATAAATAATAATTCTCCAATAATATTCATAGGTATAGATAATTTATTAATGTTGAATTGATTACAGACATTGGTATAAAAACTATATTTTATTATCTATTTTATACATTTAGTTATTATTAATGTTAATTGTCATCATATTATAAAATGTTTCATACATCACATTTTTTCCACGGGAAATAAATAATACGAGTATACTAAGTAGGCAACAATTTATTAATCTAAGTACATACCTATTATGCTATTTTACTTTTTAATATAATTCAGTATCACGTCTTAATGGAAATAATTCTCATTTGTCACCCACTAAAAATGATTTGTTATTTTAGATTCTGAGCTGAACAATGAATTATAGGTACCTATCTATTTTACAATGATGTGTAGGTTTCGTGTGTATGTGTGTTCTTATACGATAAATAGTTGAACAAATGCTTCGATTTTCAATTCTAAAGATGATTTTTGATAACAGTGATAACGAATTGGATTTAGTTTATACTTTTAACTTTTAAGAAGTCAAGTAATCAGGAAAAATAAAATAAAATTAATGATAGAGAAATTTTTCCAAAATCTGTTTTGTTTTTATGGCGTAACTAAAACGAATAGCTAAAGACAAAAAGCTATTAAGGAATTATAAATTTTCGATTTTTTGAAATATTTTTTCAATTATTATCAATAACAAATTTTTTAATAAGTCAAAAATGTTGATCATTTAATACAAAGTTCCTTATAGGTTGTTCATATTATGATTATTAAAAAAAAAAAATACAGTCACGATTTATTCATATAATAAATTGTTTGAAGTTCAAATATTGACATAATTCATCAAAATCACAAAAATTGTAAATTATTTTAAATGATAGTTTATAAAATTTTCAATTTTTATAGCTAAGATTTGAAAATATATCATAAAGTTTTTCACTAATAGGTTAAAATGAAACCAAAAATCTAAAATATATATAATTATAATTTTTTTTTTTTTTCATGGAGATTATTTAAATGAAGAATGACGATGTTGGTTAATTTTTTTAATTCAAAAACATTATTTTTGGGGACTTCGGCAGCAATGTACAACATATAAAGAACATTTAAAGACATATAACGCTCATTAAACATGCATTATGCATTTATGCATGTAGGCAAAATATCAAAAATAATGATGTTCTATGTTAATGAATTTTTTTTTTTTTAGAAAAACCTATTATTTTGTTGGCTGAATTCGAATTAGATCCCAAATTGTTTACAATATGTACTGCACGGTTTTTCCTAATAGCGGGCAAAGCAATAATAACTATACGAATTTCGCACGAAACTTAAAAGGTGACGATTTATAGACAGAAATACAACTAATTGTGGACAAATTTCCGATTATTACTTTTGATACAATGATTACGGAAGTTGGACAATAGTTCTTGTTTGATATCCACGTTTAAAATTAATGATTAGTGATTACATAATTATTATTATCTAGCTACCGAGTAGCTGCTACTCTATTAATGACTATTTATAAGCATTAAGATTGTGACAGTGATTTTAAACGCCAGTTAAAAGAATTTTAAATCTGTTGACGATCTTATCTTATGCCTGTTTAAAAATCTCTTGTTCTTATTAAATATTTGTGAAATGTACAGTGAAAACTGAAAATAACTCCAAACAAATGCAGTGCTTTGAATATCATTGCATTCGCATTTTTCGCATTTTTTTTCCATTTTTTAAATTTATTTCGATCTATTATTTATTATTATTAATTAAATATTATTGACATTATCACAGTAAGTGCATATTTCATTTCAATATCTATCTATCAAATACCAAAAAAATTTAAAAGATAGATTTCAACTAGTCAATATCAATGATTTTATTTTACACACATTTTACATTGCTTGGCAAAGTATAAACAAAGTGGATTTTACATTTTGTTTTAGCAGATATCTACCTAATAAAAGACAATATTATAATAATACTGATTCACAATACTAAATTATGTGTGTACATCGTATAATACCTATGTATTATGTATATTATGTTATTTTGATTTTTAACTAATTATTATATCATAAATTACAAATATTTGGCATGTATTTTTTATAATGCATTTATAACGTTGTTTACTTAATAAATATAAAATGTCTTCTTTAAGCCCATATTTTCTTTTATTGCTTACCTGGGAGGTTTAAATTAATTTTCACCAGTGTTTACTGACCACTTAAAACTCAAACATCCGATTCAACTTGAACTTTTTAAAGTACAAAAAAGCCAAGAATTTCGACGTCGGGAGGTAAAACAATCCACTGTAGGCGTATTGCCCAGCAAGAAAACGATTTACATTGGATGATGACTGATAGCTTACACTCAATTACCGTTTTCGAAATTTATTTATTTATTTTATATTATATACAAAAAAGCACCAGGCAAGCGACGGAATATTTCAACGTCGATGACCGCTGCTAGATACTGGAATTCGACTTTCGTGGACTTTTATGCGTTAAAAACAACACCGCTAAAGTATAAACTATAGAGCCACCAATTCAGTAATACCAATATTTCGCAAACGTCGTTATCGCCCGCTTCATCACAACACTAAACTTTTGACCATTAAATTTTTTTACTAGAGTTTCTCTCAAGTCCTGTCTGCAACTTAGGGTATTCACTTACAGCAAGTTTCACTAGTCCCAAACCAGTAGTATTATTAATATAAAATAAAAGAATGTTTTAAAAAATATCAAAGAACATTTATAAAACTTAACGACGATTAAAAGGAACCATTATTTTTAATTTTTTGATTAGCTCATCGATGTCGATTTGTTTCGCCAAAGTACATGGAAGTATCAAATTGTCTAAACGTTCCTGTGTCATAATGGTAAGAGCTTAGTTTTAGTACCTGCATTATTACAATCAAGACCATTTAATTTGGACGAAAGCGATAACAAATTATAAATAAAACCCTTAATTATTTGTTCGTTTTATTATGTGATATTACTTATTATTACATATTACAAAGTGTATGACTATATTTTAATATATTATGTATACTGTATGTGTTACAGTAAAGGATGTTAAATTTATATTAACGTTATTAACTAGCAATTAATGTTATTAGATATTATTGAATGTTTTACAAGGTTTATAACGTTAATTACTAAGGATTTACGTTAATTTCAAACTATATTAGTGAATCGTGTTATTTGTATTTAAACTGTTATATTATTATTATTTATTTTCACATGATAATGAACTATGACATTTAGAATTACATAATTTCCCAACCACTCGACAGGTGCATTTATTAGTTTTGCACTTCATTTTACAGTGACATCTTTGATAGCCTTGTGTGCCCATAAGACTACTATATCCTGCTGCTTCTCGAAGTATTATCTCTTTATTTTTAGATGATTCAAGCGAATATTGTAGGTACTCATCAATGATTAGAAAGGAGTTATTATCACTACGTTTTTTTAAAATTATATCAGATATAATGTATATAATGTTGTTAAATTTGTTTTTCATTTCAAGTTCATCCATAATGAATTTTATTAATAAAGAAAATTAACACAATGTTTTACGAATATTTTAACATACAAAAATAATATAACGATATAATGGCGATGTATATCCGATGCGTACCGTGAAAAACTGACAAAAATATTATCTATAATAGTTATTATATTTACAATAAAGTCTTACACTAGTAAGCCCCACTAAGCTTATTTATGCTTTATTTATATATTACAGAATATCTTAGTCCGAATTTCTATCTACTGCGGCTGTAATACTATCTAGTAGGTGTTTAATACTATTAAGATAACATTATATAACAAAATTTTCCATCGTATGTAGAAATTATCGATAATCAAACCCAAAAAATAATAAACCACGATAATCACTAGTTTGTTAGGTAATTATTGTTATTTACTAGAAAATAACGTTATTTTAATGTTTAACATCATTTACTGTAACATATGCATTAATACGAGGCAAGATTCACCAGTCCGTGATTCCACCTATGAAAATGATTAAAAAAATTATATTTTCGGCTTCTGTTATAAAATACGTTGGTTACACTTATTAAATAACATCCAAAAGTTTGAGTAAAAATGTTTTTTTGGATTATTTAAAAACAGGTTAAAAATAAAAAGAATATAATGATTGGCATGTGTTTTATGTATTTTATGCATTTGCATAAATGTTTTTGAACTACTTTTGAATGTTCCATCTACATAAAATGTGTTGTTACGTATACATTTTTAAAAAATCAGTAATCCAACTATATACTACCATACAGTATATACTATATACTGTATAAAACTACTATTTATTATCTATAAAATGTTATTACCAAAATAAGTAATTTATATAGTATATTACTTTTAAACATATGAATAAAAAAAAAAATTATGTAAAGTAACTTTTACAATACTATTATGAGCTTAATAAATAAAATGAATGAAAAATATGATTACAAAGTAAACCTTTAAAAAGGAATAATAAATTGAGATTTATTAATTATTAATATTTAATACAAATTAAAATAAATTAAAAAGATAAATTTCTTTAAAAAACAATTTATTTTATTTGAACTTAAACAAATTACTGTAGTACAGCCACATAAAAATTTATTTTTTTTACCATCTGGTTGTTGTAAAAAATAAAAATAATGAATCAGTTTATCAACACATTTTATAACTATGCCTTAATCAAAAATTAAAATTGTGTGACAACATAACTTATTATAACAAACAAAATATATTACACTTTAGAAACAAAATTAAAAAAAAAAATTAAAATATTAACTTCTCCTTTAAAAAAAATATTTTCAAATGCCTCATTAGGATAACACAAACATAGTTGTAAATGATACTTTCTCATTATATGGTAAATACAAAAAAAAAAATAATAATAAATAAACAATAGAACAATAGAATATAAATATTTATAAAACAAAAATAGACATTTTAAACAATTGCATATAGTTACTAAAAAAAAAAAAAAAATACACTTCTTTTAATAATTTTTTTCCTTTCTTGATAATTTAAGTGTGAATTTATCTGGAAAAATATTAAACATCGATTAATTATTAAAAAATACTAGATATCATGAACTTTTTCATAGAAGTTATATGCCACTAAAATTTTCTACCATACTAATTTGTAAACAAATATATATATATATATTTATATTACAAAAGCAATTTACAGCAAACTGTAGTTTCAATTATTTTAAAAAACCAACTTGAAGTTAATTTCTTATTTTAATTGTAAAATAAAAGCCATTTTATTCAAATAAAAATATTAAATGAAGTTGTAAATGTTTAGTCATAACTTAATTTTTAATTAAACAATATTATTGAAACATTAAGAGATTTTATCAAATTATGTGAACAAAATTTAAAAATCTAAAATAAAATCAATATTTATTACTCTATAAAGGTTAACCATAGAAATAATTATTAATTACTACAAATACAATAAATGTAAATTTAATAAAGTATTACATATTGTATAGGTATTAGGTATACTTAAGAGTCTGAAACTACTAAAACTTACATTAGCTCTAACCCATAGTTTTCTAAATCAAGATGCACCACTAATGTTTTAATCTTGAACTTCAAAATGTCGCTGATAAAACCGAGTTGTTATCGTGAAAATATTAGTCAAATTCAATAAGAAAATAAGAAAATGATTCTTCTCTATTTCATAGTTGTATTATATCTTTGACTTTACCTCTTCCCAAATAATTTTGGCCTGTCATATTAGCTAGCATATCTAGCTACCAATTAAAAAATCACTAGATAATGCTCAAATTGGAAAAAATTAAGTAGAGAAGCTATGTCTAAAGGTATAGAAACTAATTTTAAATACAAAATTATTCAACGCAGACTTGTGGAAGACTGTCCCACGCCTCCAACCATTATTAAAATATTTTAAATACTACATTTCAATTGTATATATACTTAATTCATCTTCATTAACAATTACACTTAAATTTTCAACCATTATAAATTAAACTCACTTTTTATAATAATTTTATAATACAATTAAAATTTCCCAGAAAAGAAAATTAAAAATTATAAAATGTATTACATTTTTCAATAAATTTTAATTACAGTACATTGACAACAATTTAATTCCATTTTTAATGAAAAACTAATAAGAGCATTACATTAAATCTTACCTTGTTCCATTAAAAATACAAACGCAAAATAAAAAAATAAGACATTAGAGGAGGTCTATAAGCCCGTGCACCCCTCCATTAGGAGAACTATGTCAATAAATAAATAAATAAAAAAATTAATAATTTCATAATTACTAACATTATTTATTTTTGAGTGGTCGAAAACACAGAGGTTTTTTGTTGATTTCTTTTAACGCGTCTATATTGACGTCCTTCAATAAATCCAGCATCCCAATCGATTAACAGTCGTTTTCCATCTAATAACGTTCCATTCATAATCTTCATGCAATTTTCAGTTTCTATTCTTGTTTCATATCTAAAAACAGTATTAATATTATAATAAAATTAAATTTGTTAGACAAAAAAAAATTGATATCAAATTAGTTTCAAATTTATATCCAATGAATATGTAAATTAATGTTTTTTAACTAATAAAAAAATTAAGTTAAATTATCTAACCAATTACATTAGTTTTGGAAGTCTTATAATTTTTTTATCCGTCAAAAAACTTGAAATATGTCACATAATATATTGATTCGTAAGATTAGCCTCGAACCCATCTACATCCAGTTACTACTATAATAAAGATATATCAGAAACTTCTTTACACAACTGTCATTTCTAAGCAATATTCTATATAGTAAAACATAAGTAAAGTCATATTTAAATTTTTTGACGCTCATTCTTAACACATCACTGAATTTATGTCAAAAAAAAAAAAAAAAAAAAATAGAAAATAGAAAATATACAAAAAAAAAAGTTTAAATTAACAGTATAAAATATTAAATAAGTACTCGAAAATCAAAAAAGTAAAAGATTATAGCACTTATAAATAACAATAAATTTTTTAAATTATTTAATAATTTCTAGTAAGTGCTAGATCTAAAACACATCTAAATTATTTTAAATTATTCATAAAATAAATATATTTGAGTTTAAAACTTTTAAAGAAAATGAGTAAACAATTTTATTTTATTTATAAATTTTTATATAATTTTAAAATGTATGCCCCTTTCTCATGAACTCTTGTCTGGCCTTGATCATAAGTAGGTTTTTAAAAGTTATTTTTTAGTCAAATAAATATTTTAAACTAACATGCAGACAACTTTATTTTCTATTTTAAACTAATAACTAAGGATACTTAGCTTAATAATTACTACTACAAATCCTAAACTTGCTTAAAAATTTAAAAAAGTAGTAATAACTCTAAAAAAAGATAATCAATAAGGCCAATAATTGAATGCTGTTTAAATCAATCATACTATTGCAAATATTTGATTAAAACTAATTCCATACTAGTAGGAGGCTGAACTTATAAAAAAGTATATAGCAATATAGCTAAAAATGTATTTTGTTCTTTTTTTTTTTACAAGACTATTGAAGTTAATATTAGTATATTTTATTAAGTATTAATAATTATTTAAACATACTCAATGAAGCAAAATCCACCAGGACCTAATGTATTTCTATCTAATCCCATGATAATGGTTTTTATTTTTCCTGCCTCTGAAAATAGCTTATGGATATCTTCTTCAGTTGAGAGTAAATTTAAATGTCCAACATATACAGTGGTTGATTCTTTAAGTTTTTTTGAATATTCTGAGCGAGTCCCCTAAAATTTAAGTAAATTTACATGTAACTAATGATATTATTTATTTTTTTTTTAAAAATACATCATCATCAATCAACTTTTAGTATTTGAAGCACATTAATTTTTATAGTAATCAACAGAAATATACAGAAATATACTAAGAAAATTATACATTTTAATAAAAAAACAAAAATAATATTTTTTAATAAAATAAATTTACTTTTACTTCACATTTACAATCACAATTTGTAAGTTTTAAAATATATTTTTACAAATCATACCATAAAATTAATAACTCGTTTTCAAATATTGAGAATATTATCTTTACAGCTCAGCTAGTACTTAGGTATTTTATTTGAAGGTACATACCTTGAATTTACAATCAAAATACTTATATTGGCCCGCATTGTTCAAATTGCGTTTAGCAGGTGGTATATATAACTTGGTAACTGATTCTTTATTTTCAGAATTCGATATATCATTATTGTTCACCTTAAAGATCGAGATTGTTAAAAAAAATGTTATTGTTAATGAGACAAAATACTTAAATCAAAAAATTTCAAATAGGTTTATGAATATATTTTACTGTAAGTATCAAAATAATATTATTTTAAAAATATTGTTATCATAAAGAAATAAATTTGCACCATCAATGATTCATCATAATATTATATGTATTATGATCTAATATCTAACTATATAACATGAACTACTGCTCTTACAAAAAATTCTATGCATTAGAGTTAAACATTTAATGAAACTATTAAACAATTTATCTAAAAATATTAATTTTTAACTTAGATATTATGAGGTAGGTAACATAAGTGCAAGAAAATAATAACAAATACAATTTAATTAAGCATAAAATAAGATAGTAATTTGTCATAAAATTATAAAAATATTTAACTATCTGAGGTTATCATTCTAATGTTTATTTATATTTTCTAGTACTTGATTTATGAGAGAGAAAAAGATATGAATTACTCAAAATGAAAAATATTTCACAATATTATTTTCAACATTTTTGATTAATCATTCAGTTGCTAAGAATAAACACCACATTATAAGTACATATGTACTTATATACAAATATATATCTGTATAACTATTTTTTTTTACATACTATAATATTTCAAGTCAATTTTCATCTATAAAACCTAAAGAATTATAACTTAACTTTATTATACCAGTCTAAAATATAAAATATTTATATACATATTTTTTTTAAATAATCATATAAAACAAAGTTTTAATAATAATATTATATATATATATAGGTTACAGCTTTAAAATATTAATATTTAAATAATATTACCTTATTTTATTAAATTAAAAAATGTATAATATAATATACAACACTATTTAATATGCTAAATGCTTATAATTTATCACATTATTTAATTGAAACTCAATGTTTACATTGGATATATTAATATTCATACTTATAATATTTAAAAAAAGTATTAACACAATTCTCATTACTTGTAAATAGATATATTTTTATACCTTTGAATTATTATTCACACAATTGGAAACATTATTGTTCAGTGAAGAAGTATTATTGTTCAGTGAATACACAGTTTCTACAAGTTCTTTTCGCAAATGGGGAGGTTTATATAATGCACAGGACCGTATGGATTCATTACAATTGGAAGGCATAGTATCGACAAATTGTAAGACAATAAAGTACAAATATCTGGAAAAATTAATTCATTTTATCTATGATTAAATAACAAAATAGTTTAATTTGTGAAAATGAAAATAAATAAATTAGAAAATCACTATTAAAGAATGATAGTAATAATTTAGGTACCTTTTTATTAGATACAGTTTTTTTTTCTAATTCATCTTTACTGTATTGTCAAATAACATAATGCTACACACATTTACATTATTATACATTACCTTTTTATTACTTTATTAAATATTAGTAAATAAAAATATAACTAATACACCTACAATTAATAAACATGATTTGAATGACTTCTTCAATTATTTTTCTATAGCCCAAATGTCTAATATAAGGTAATTTAAAAATAATATCATATAAATATACAAATTGCCATATTTTAATAGATTAAAAAAATAGTCTATGTAGGTTGAATAATATAATATCAATGCAGGCCAAAATCAGATCTCTGTTGATGAGTAGACTCAAATATTATTATTTTAAAACAAATTTCTAATTATACACAGTATATTATTAATCGTATAATTTATAGGTAAATAGATTAGTTGTAGATATATATATATTAGTACCTACTGAATAAATAAAATAGATACAAACACAGTTAAATGTCTTTATATTGTATGAAAATTAATAAAAATTATGAAAATCAAAACAAATTGTTAAGTAAATGCTTCACAGAAAAAATATCCTTATAAGTCTCAGGGTTTTATACTATTGATATAAGTTATAAATTTGCATTATTTGTGTTCATAAACACGCTATAATGATACGTAAATAGATACTTATAAAATATTACTTACCTACTTCTGTACACAATTAAAAAATAGCGATCAAAAAAATCAAGAATAAAAATTATGTTCAGAAAAATAATTCAACGTGAACCGTTAAAATATCATGGCATGCGAACAATTATTATGAATGAAATGATCTTTTCATTTCACAAATGAAATTGCTATTAATTCTAAGTTACAGCTCTGAGACGTTTTTGGTACGGATTATATGATTTTTACTATAAAACATCGATTAATTATTATTTATATGTTCCTAACCTCAATTTCGAATAATATTGCTGACATCCATAATATTACGAATTGTTAAATAACGAAATATCGAAATCGAATATACCTAAATTTAGATATACCTACCTATCCATTTTTACAAAAATATTTTTTGATAACAATTATCTACAGTACATAAATGAAACTTTTAGACTACGGCGAATGAATAATATTTATTTACATAATTATACAAGATACTCTTATCTAAAAATACCAAATTTTAGTTTAAGTTTTTGACGTAGATTTTTAAGTTCATAGGAATATATTTTATTATATATATGATATATTATTAATATAATATACGATATACGAATGGTAATCGTGGCGAAGTGAAGTACGCAATAGAAAATAACGTTTAACCATTTTTTTAAATTGATAAATTAATTAAAAATTAAATTTTTTAACTAAATACCCGTCTTTGTAAGACAATCAGCCTCAAGATAAAAATAACGTATGATTTATTTTCTGTCAAGTCTTTTTTTTTTTAAATTTTTTCGTTATTAAATCTGTAATCTATAAATTTATTTAGTATCAAATAGTTCGAAAACTGTATAAAAATAAGCCAACAACTAACAAGCTCATAGTTTATGGTTTAATATTTTTATAAGATTTTTGTCATGGGTAGGATATCCACGGAGTAGTTCAGTAAAATTACGAATTTCAACACATTAAACTCTTGTATCACTTGTATCTTGTAGTTGTATTGTCGTTTCCCAATATCCAGACCTACCATCTAATACTCTTTTATTAATATGTATACTCATATTATATTATGATACACATTTTTAATTTATACTCGGATTTGCATGCAATTACAAAAGAAATAAACACGCGTATTATATAAATTTGTTATTTAAATTACAATATTACTTCTGTTAAACAATTTTTTTTGTGATAAAGGATGAGTAAAAGTGTAAAACGTATGTCTTTTAATATTATCATTTATCCCGTATCCGTTGATTTATCTTCCACAAGAATAAAAAAATAAAAAGCTAATAGCCTAATTTTCAAAAGTATATATTTAATTATTTACTTAAATTAAATATTATGAAAATATTTTTTTTATAAGTTGAAATATAAGTTATTAATTCACGATAGAAGCATATTGTACAACAACGACGACTGCATTTTGTATAACATTGTGATGTAAAATATAATTATACATTTATACCTATTATAAAAATAATTATTTATCAACAAATACCCAGATTATATTATTATTATGTAACCATAAAGGAATGTTCCATACATAGTTATATTATACCATATATTTTGACTATTTTGTACACAACGATAATGATTAATGATAACTATATAGATTATAGACATTATAGTAGGTAATAATAATTTGTAAGATTAAAACGAGATTCAGTGATTGTGAATTGTGATTTTCTTGTAATAAAATTGTCTTCTTGTCCAGTTGTCCCGATAAACTTCGAATGGAAAGCTTATTTTCCGTTCTAATCTCGTCAAATCTATGTTATTATGTGCGTAATAGAAAAAACTTCTTCGTCTATCTATACACCAAGTCACCAAATAAATCTAAAACATTACTCTAATAATATTACGATGTTATTTTTAAATAAAAATTGGTTTTTTTATCTGCCTATAACAATAAATTGGATTTTGCCCGGTACGATACTTTGTTATCTAATCTTTAATATACGTGTAAAATAACTGTATAAGTATATACGACATAATATAATATGTGTCTTTCTATTTCAGTTACCGTTTTGATTTCAATCCGTATTGGCACGTTTCGTTTACATTAGAAAAGTCAAATAAGAGACATCGTTGTTTTTGAAACAGTGAAAATAACTGAACTTTAGAAAATTGTGTTTTAAATGAAAATCTTTATCAAGAGACGAGAATCAGTCAATCAATCCTGTCTACCATAATATGGAAATCTAAGGACCAAATAAAAAATTTTTTTTTTTAAAATTGTAAATATAATTAGGCTAACTTAATATAATTTACATAATACGTCCTTTTTTATATTCATAAATATATAATTTAGTTATATAATTATACGTTTTTAATACTAAATAACATACATGTATTTATTTGTTTAATAAATCAATTTTTCAAACAATTTTTTTTTTGGTCTTCCAGATACAACAAAATTCAGATATAACGATCTGATTCCCTAGGTACCTCGAAGATCGTTATAACTTATAAGCAGATTTTACTGTTGCTATAAAAACAGAACGAGTATTAGATTTTAATTGTTCGTCTGCGATAACCGATAAGCACACGAGAGTGGCCCAAAGCTTGTGCTAATGTGCAGTACATCACAAATTGTGCAATTCTAAAATAAAATGTGCAGTTATAAAACGCTAATTGTGTAGTACCTTTGCTACCTATTCTAGCATTGTAAAAAAATAACTAATATACTATATAATACTAGGTAATAGGTATACCAAAACAATTTGTATTAAAGTTATAATTCATAAAAATTAAATATTATATTATCATGATATTATGATACAACCACAAACCAATGTGGATTGTGATATGTTTTCCATGATGTGGATTGATCCATAATAATGATAATAATAAAATATGTATACAAGCCAAATTGCCAAGTTCAGGTACCTACTTGTGCAGTTCTAAAATGTTCTTAGCGCAAACACTTCACGAGACAAAATATTTTATTGTGCATTGCATAATTTTATTATAAAACCTCATTAATTTATAACTTATAACTGACACCCTTCCCAACAACACTAATGTTTAATATCGGTCTGATCTATAAAAGGCTTATATAGAGTTATATTTTAAGAGCCTGCAATTCTTATCAAAATTTACCTGAGGCTAAGTGACCAAGTGAGTTAAAACTGAGAAAGTCCACTTACAATACTTACATAAATTTAAAGTATTATTATTTATTAATTTTCTATTTTATAAACTTTATGTGATATTATGATATAAAGTTATATTTTTAAAAGGAATTACTTTAAACACAATGTGTATAAAATAGATACCTATATATTATATTACGATCCAAGAAGAAAAATTGTATACAAACCGGATAGTGGTCATTGTATCTATATTCTATTGTATGTAATATTTGAACAGAGTTAATTATAAATATTTATTTCCCACGTAGATTAGTTGTATGCTGCTATATGGGCAAATGGACAACATAAATTTATACCTATAAAATTATATATATTATACTATTATTAATATTATTATTATTTAGAACAGTTTATTATAGTAGATAGACGATGCCTATATAGTCTAATTATTGATTATAAGACGTATTGAGGGAAGTATAAATTTAACAATCACGTAATCAGACGCTTTTTAAGTTATTTGTCACAACTCACAATTTTTTTATTATACTTGGTAGGTACGTAAGTACGCAACTATTAAATATTCATTATTATTATTATTGTACATACACAGTTTACAAAAAAATATATAATATATAATTTTTTATTGTCGTGTATGCGTGCCGTATTATATGAGAACGTGTAATATATGTAGTATACCTATTACATGTGTAGTGTGTACTGAGTATACGTCGATAAGGCATTCGATTTAGCATGTACTATGTAATATGTTATATTATAAGAATGTGAAATTAAAATATTTATCGTTAAAATAATATTAAATTTTGTAATAAACTTAAAAAGTTAAATTTTATGTACTTATAATACTCAATTTTTATATTATATCGCAATTTAATGTTTTTCTCTTGATAAATTTTTTAATATCAATAAATCATAAAGACTATATTACTTATACAATTTTTCACTCAGAAATTTTAGTACGTGGTCAGTGGTTACTGTACAATGTACATACACGATACCTAGTCATTCTAATCTATGCTCTTTTAATTATCTAATATATTATATATTAAAATACTAGTAATAAAGTATTTATAATCAATTATATAATGCCTAGTCAGTGTAAATAATGAATATTTTTCTACTTTTACTGTAACATGAATATTCATATATTTATAAGTGAACTATAAACTGTTGTCTATTGTTATTATAATATCTTTAAATACATTAACTATAAATTTTTATTACCACTTTTTCTTTTTAATAATAATAATATATTTAGGTAGGTACTATACGTTTGAACTACATGATTCTTAGTTCTTAATTTTAACTTTTTAAGAAATGATGATATACATGCATATAAAATGTACGAACTACGAACAGTTTACAATTTTAATATGTTCATAATTCGCTTCAGTGGCGTATTTTCGGGAAGAGATTAGGAAAATATATCTTCATCCTTGAGCATTTCTTTTTAAACTTATATTTATACGATTATAGTTGTGTTATTTCCATTTATCACTTTATGAATACCGTAGATCGATATGACTTGGAACTACGAGGTGAAATGAAACAATTTGGTTTTTGTTTAAACATGTCAAATTATCTGTGAAGATATTTGATATAATTTAATTCTATCTTCATTAAAAATAAATTTATAATTTATGTGATAATAATTGTTATCTTCAACCAAGTGATTAGTCTCTTGGCGTGCTACCCCAAAGGCGGCCTGGACGCGCCGCGTCATCCCTGACTTACCAAGATGGCTGGAAAGGACCGTCCCATGGGTGCCTCTGACATTTCACATGACACAGGCACTCACGGGCCACGGCTGCTTTGGATGGTACCTCCATCGCATGAATAGGGCCGCCAGCCCGCGCTGCTGGCAGTGCTCGGGCGAATCAGACACCGCCGAACACACTTTGTTCGATTGCCCCCACTGGGACGGCTTTCGCGAACCCTCGAGCGCCAGGATTAGCCATCGACCGAGCACCGACGACGTCCCGGACATTATCTGCGGACCGGCGTTCAAGCTTCTGCCGGTGGACGCTCACGGGAGGGACGCCATCCTGAGTGAAGCCGAAGAGCGATTTAAGCTGTTTTACGGCATGGTGGAGAATATCCTTTCAGCTAAGGAAGAAGAGGAAAGAGCGCGACAGGCTGTGAACGAACGGAATCCACCATAGCTAGGCAATCGGGGAGAACGGAGCGACTATGTATTAACTGTATTGGTATTTTTTTTGATAATTTACAATATTTACATCACTTGCGTGTAATAGCAGCGAGTGGGGAACTGGCCCACCATTGCTAATTATTGTATGTTTTTGTTTTGACAATAAACGATGGTGGCTGGAGGAGAAGTACTGGTACCATGGTTCCTCCTCCAGTCCTCGATATCATAAGAAAAAAAAAAAAAAGAAGTGATTAGTCTCATCATTACCGCCAAAAAAAATTACCAAACATTTATCATGATAACAGCGATTTTTTCAATGCTTTCAAAAGTGATTATATTATTATTGTATATTTTTTTATGTATTAAAGAATATTTCAAAAGAAGAATATTGCAGTTAAAACTCTAAAAATATTTTTCCAATGTTATAACCTAAGTTTTATTTTACAGAAAAAAATTGAGAGTTACTTGTAACACTAAAAATGGCATTTCCAATTCCAATAGTATTTAGGCATTAAGTTTTGTTATTAAGTGTTCTATTGAGTTTTTTTTATATATTTAACAAGTTTCATATTTATTTTTTATTTTATTATTTTAAAATGATGTGTACTCTGTTAAAAAAAGTTGTCAACCATTTTCTTTTTTTATATTTACTTAAAATTTGTTTAAATTAATTTTTAAAATAAATATTTTATTATAAGTCATCTCTTACGTACATGAATTTAATTTTACATTGAATTTTCCTAGCTGTTACGAGTCACCTCAACAATTGAGGTGACTTATTGTAACATGTATTTTTTTAAATTTTTTTTTTAAAGCTGGTTTGGGTTAACAAAATAAATGAAAGGTCATATCTTATTCATGAGACATTCATGTATTTTTTGTAATCTAGTATGATTTTTTTTTAAGCTCAAAATACTAAGGTATGTCAAAATCGTTTCATATCACCTCGATTTACGGTAGATAGGTAATGAAATGCTGAGGTTTGGCATTGATAATTTTAGTCACATCTCCTCTCAAAGAAATCCTAAATATACCACTGATTCGCTTTAAAATCTAAATATAAAAATATTCCCGAAATTAATGATTAATCTTATTCTTAATCATGATAATAATTGGTCAATAACTAAACAGTTTAATATAGTTAAGTAGATAATGGATGATTTATAACGTACAATTCGCTAAATTATGCATTCGTAAGACAGAGTCAAAACACATATACTATATAGGATATGGGCACATGGCCATGGGTGTAATGTCCTCTTATAAGAAGCTTTAATAAGCTTAAGCTATATTATTTAGAACAGTTTATTATATATTTAAAATGGTATTAGTAACTTTTTTTACTATACTATTATTAAATACAGTGGCGTGTATCCAAAAAAAAATTGGTGTTGCTCAAATAATTTTAGGTGACCTACCCCTTATACTTTTGTTATACCTAGTACCTACCGATAAAATGTTGCTAAATTTTATTCCTATTATTTAATGTACTAATTTAATTTAGTAAATTACATTTTTGCGCAAGTTGTGCATCGGTTTTTAAAAAAATATATAAATAAAAAAATCCATTAGGCAATTATAATATTTTATTTAAATTATCATTTTACATAGTTCAGTACTGTTTGATGCAAAGATTTCTAAAACTTTGTTTGAATTTTTGTACATGTCTTGTTCACATGTGATTAACATCAAATCTTCTAAACGTGTGTTATTCATGGTAGTTCTTAAACGAGTTTTAATTATTTTGAGCTTTGAAAATGCCCGTTCTGTAGAAGCACTTGAAACAGGAAGTGTCAAAGCAATTTGAAGGGCATTATTAAGAGTTGGAAACACTGAACCCAAGTTACCAGCATGAAAAATTTGATACAGTGCTTTCATACTCCCTACATTAAGCACTTTTCTAGGTTCCATTTCAATTTCATTATCTGATTCTGATTCTGATGAAAATTCTTCTTCTCCTTCTTTTTCTATGAGGTCTTTTCCATGCAAATATTTGGGCAGATTAATATTTTCTTCAAATGAGGTAAAAATCTTTGAAAAATGAATGTACTCTTTGTTTAAACAGTCTTGATCAACATACTTTCCATAAACCTTACAAAACATTGAAAAAGCATCTTTTGGAAGTGATGCTGGATTCTTTTTTACTTCATCTAGCCTTTTTTTACTGAACAATGATAAATCTTTATAAATTCCAATTGAACTATTATCAAAGTATTCATCAAATGCTGAATTTATTATGTCCAAACAAACATAAAATGTATTGACTCTAAAGTTTTCTAATGGATCTATTATAGGATCATCAGAAACCTCTTCGCCTGGCATTTTTTTTTTACGACGAATTCTCTGATTAAGCTTATCAGAAAATTCAAATTGGCTAAACTTGTTTATAAAATTATTAACATCAATCAATATCTTATTAAAAATATTACCATCACGAAGGTTCTGAATATCTAGCTGAGCATTATGTATGCTGTTCATTGCCGAAAGTAAGTCAAGATCCTTACTTTGTAATAAAATGTTGACTGGTCCAAGAATCTCAAAAATGTATTTAAAACAAAATGCGATTAACAAAAACCGTCTAGAAAGAAGGTATTCTATAAGACAACCAGCAATATGTCCAGTACTTTGGTCATTACAGCCTTCATTATTCCTGACATCATCTAGAGTTTCAATGACAGCTTCAAATGTTTCTAATATTGAATCAAGGGCATATCCATGCGACATCCAACGTGTTGTAGCAACTCGCTTGAGCCTACGAGTTCTTTTACTGCAGTAACAATCTTGTTTAGTTTCATAAATAGCCACTCTTTTTTTACTTCCACATATAAAATTGTATACTGACTCTAGATTACCAAAAAGATCTATGGCATTTATATTGCAACCAACAGACTTGGCAACAATTAAGTTTAGCCTAAAAGAAAAAAAAATTTATAAAAGAATAGTATTTATAAAAACTAAAATGTAAATTACCTATGTGCGTGACACCAAATAAAAGTTGCAGACGGACATTTTTGTTGTACATAAGTTTTTAATCCTTGGAATTCACCTCTCATATTCTGAGCACCATCATAAGACTGTCCCACTAAATACTGTTCCCAATCAATAGATAAATCAACACATAGTTTTTCAAAAATATTAAATAATTGAAAGCCAGTCGTAACTGATGATTCTCTTAGCGCTATTAACCGCTCAGATACAGTTCCAACTGTTGAATTTACATAGCGTACAACAAATGAAATTTGTTCCTTCCTAGATAAATCAAAAGTTGAGTCAATTGATATGCTAAAAAACCGAGCAGTTTTTAGTTCTTCTTGTATTGATGTTCTTATTGCTGAAGCAAGTGATCCAATTAACTGGTTCTGTCTTATATTTGAAATAAGACTAACGTTTTGTTTTTTTGTCGATAATTGCAATTTAGTTATATAAGAAGCAAGGCATGGTGAACGTTTAGACATCAAATGAACTAAATCTAAAAAGTTTCCTCGGTTACCCAATTCTTCTTTTAAACTTTCTTTATGTCAACGAAATGCAATACAGTTTTTTGCAAGGAAAAAAGTAATATCAATCAAGTCCAGAACAATCTCTTTGTTAATAGCTTTGTCTCGTCTATGTTTTTCTTCTAATAAAGGTAGTATGGGTAATGATATTTTTTTCAATTTTAATTTAAGGGAAGCTTCAATATGTGCTTCTGAACATTCATGAATTTGCATACTTTGCAAAGCTCTCGGCCACGAAGCAACTCCGTCTACAGACCATGCTTTGTTAATATTGCGCCCAAACAATAAACAATGATGACAAAACATTTTATCACTTGATACAGAATAACTGAGCCAATCTCTTCTGACATTTACATTACCAGGCAGAGATTTCCAATACCATGAAGTCTGGAAACTGCGGCCAAATTTATCTTTGGGAAAAACACGAGTAGGAAGATCATCAACAGTTGGCTGCATAGGTCCTTTTTTAATTAAAAAATCAACTATCGTAGGTGATAAATCAACAAGCATTTTATATTTATCGGGATCGTTAGATAAGTCTACATGATTGGTTCCAACTGGTTGTTTAGACTTAAAATCATTACCTATGAATTATAATAAGTTAGCTATATAATAGGAAATAGGAATCCAAAATTTCACATACCAGACCGAGATAAATCTGAAGTGACTGAAGCCAAATGAATACTATCTGAATGTACTGCATCAATTATTGTTGTTGAATTATTAAATTGACATTTATCTATTTGATCACAATTATCTGTTGTTGATTCAATTTTATCAATTACATTTAAGTCAATGTCTAAAAAAAAAAAAAATGGAATTTATATTATAATTTTAATGTTTTATGAATAAGACAAGACAAACATTTTGTTTTTTGATATATTAAATAGGTACATTTCTAGAGGAAAAAAATTGTATTTAAAGTTTAAATTACATTGAACAAAAAAATAATAAATAACTTATCCAAAATTATATGTATTAGTTTGTTAGATTAAGTCTTAAGTAATTAAGTGTTTAAATTATAACTTATAATAGGTACCTTGGTTATAGGTAATTCGGTAATTGTAATTTAAAACTTAAAACTATAAATCAATTTATAAAGAAGTGAAATGGTTTATTCAACTAAAAGAAATGAAGATTAGATAGAGTCACAATTGTCTGCAGTTGATTCAATTTTACCAATTAAATTTAAGTCAATGTCTAAAAAAATGATAAAAATATGAACTCAAGTTCTAGAAAAATATTAACAAAGTATGTAGGTAGGTAGTGGTGGTGGCCAGCGGGTATGATCAATGTCAAATGTCAATGAATAATATTATGAGTTTATTGTTTATAAAATTGTAAATTATATTTATTTAATTAAGACAATAAACACGTCTTCGTAAAAATATATTTCATATTAGGTACCTATTTTTTTCTCTAAAACTGAAATTTTGTTTTTTCTTATAAGAACTATTTATAATTTTAATGATAATAACAAATATTTTGAAGGCAATAGTATGAGCATTTATAAAGTTGTACTTACCTTTTTCTGGTACATCTTCATTATTTATTTTACGTTTTTTTGTAAAAAAATTATGTACATCGACAACGGTATTGTTTTTTTTTAATTTTGCGACTTTACAAAAAGTCAAATGTCTTTTCCAGTTTGTTTCATTTAACTTTAATCGCTTTTTACCACATAAACAAGCAGCGTAATTGGAATCTGACATTATGTTTTTTTTTTATTGACAAAAGTCAAAAATTATAAAATATACCTATAATAGTACAATAATTTACACTAGTCTATAGGCATATAATACACTATTACGATTTACGGCTACAACCAAGAAGACAAGAACACAGTGAACGCAGTAACGCACTTACGTACTATGCATTTAGAATTTTCTGATGTTAGTTTGTGACAACTTGCGCTTTGCAGTTTATGCAACTGACAAATTACTTCGATTAAATAATATCCAATATTCCATTAACTACAATATGTATAAAAATTAAAAATAGATTTTCTGTGGAACTAGTGGAAGCCAGAAGGTCCCGTTTATTTTTGTCTTCTAATCTAATCATTACGTAATGTCGTCATTACTAATTTGATATTTTTTTATTTTGATTTACATCGTAATATTGGATATTATTTTATCATTTATTATCATTTTCTCGGTTAGGCATTATAAAATATTTTAAGTACTCATGATAAATTAGTTATAAATTATAATATACCTACTATCGTTTTGTTTTAATAATAATACTAGGTACCTGTATAGCCATATATAAGTAGGTACTCACTATGACACTACTCTACACTACACTCACTACTCAAATACTATAATTATATTTATATTGTATTTTTCTATAAACACTTAATTAGTTTATTATTGTGATAATATTGTCCTTCTAGCAATACCCACCCAGTACCCACCCACCAATATTTAAGGTGTTGCTTGAGCAACACTTGGACCCTAGGTTACACGCCACTGATTAAATATTAATATGTGGTTAGTTGAATTAATTTATGTCGAAAATATCTAATTTATTATTCTAATAGTTTACTAACACCTATAAACACCTACTTACATGTTAAAATATTAAATTCATATAATATTATTGTCATTAGATTTTGATTCAATATCGACTTACCGTTAGGCACAATATAAAAAGAGAGCTTAAGGGCTGAGTTCCCTAAGAAGAGTTAGAAAACCTGATTTGGCTTAATTAAGCTTTTAGTTTGATTTTATTATATTTAAATATTTATGGAATTTTATAACTGTTGGATAATAACGCGGTCCACAATTTGAGAAGTGCCATATTTACCTTGATATTTATATAGATATTATAATAATAGGTAGTTAAATAAAAAAATGTAATTCATTATTGTATTACATTAATATTCATCAGTTATTATTAAATCCGTGTGTTAAATAAAGGTCAGTGAGTCGTGGGTGTACAGTGTACAATAAGTAAAAAGAGGTAAAAACAATTGTTTATTTATGGAAAAATTTCCCAAAATTTATATGCTTCCTTACTTTAGAACGGTGAAACATATTCGTAATATAAATAGATAAAAATTTAAAATTAACTAATCAAAATATTTTAAAAATGTCTTTGTGACATTGTGTATAGTATTAAGTTCCCACAAATAATATATTCTGTGAATAATAATAAAATAACTGAAATCGTTATTTTTTTATTTAAATATTCAATTACGTCAAAATTGTTTGTGGATATATATATGTATATACTATATATATTTTTGATTTTTAGGTATCAGAAGAACTACTTATTTAATTTTTTTTACTTACTTACCTTGTACTATATTTTCAAGCTTCAATTATTAATATAGAAAATGTTATCAATTTTTCATTTAAAATAATTTGCAAATTTTCTACTCTAAGGCCTAAGCGCATAAACAAAAAATTGTGCTTATATTATATTGTATTTTTTATTTTTTTGACTGCTACAATAAAACTTGTGTAAGATTTTGTATTAAATTATCAACATTTTTGACTAAGCTTTCTAATATTTATAAAATATACTTGAAAAAAAAAATTTAGGAAATTTAAAATGCATGTATAAGTAACTCTAGTTTAACTATTTAAATAATGTATTGTGTATGAAAAATTATAATTTATATAATAGAGAAATAATTTTAGTATTTACAATTAATATTTTTTGAATAATCATAAATCAACAATAATTGTTGGAGGATAAATAATTTTATATGTTTGAATATCGAATAATGTTATCCCGTTTCATAATAGTTTTATTTTTGTTTTTTTGTTTGTATCTAAAGAACACAGAATTTTTACTTTCAACCACTTAATAAGTATTAACTAGATCTAATTATTCGTCAGAGCCAATCTTTAAAATTAAAATTCTTTAGGTAAGTACAGGATATTGCTCCAAAAAGCAATGACAGTTTAAAATTTAAATTGTTAAGTCAAAATCGTCCGTTTTTTATGTAGGCTTTAATCATATAAATAATAATGGATTATCAATAAAAATATAAATTATAAATTTATCTAAGTACCTAAAATACTAAATCTAAATACACTAAAATCGTGATATGATTTATAAGTTATAACCTCAAAATAAATATTAAATAAACAATTTTTTTAAATTAAAATTTATAAGTTTATAGTATATATTATTTGAATTTATTAAATAAGTATAAAATTTATATAATTGTTGAGCTGTAAGAGTATTACTACAAAATACATTTAAAAAAAAAAGTATAAAATATAAACGAAATAGTAAATAAAAGATAAAGAAGATATTGTAGTCTGTAAAACTAAAATAAATTAATACATTTTCATGCAATACTTTTTATTTATTTTAAACAAATGTGATAATTCTGTTTAATAGCCTATTAGCGAATGCTATGTATAGTCGTATAGATCTATGCCTATTTGAGACTGTAACACGCAGAGTAAAATGTTAGTTACTCGGTGTCCCAGTCGACTACAGACGCGACACTTTAGGACGTTCCTCTGGATTTATATTGTATATTAAATTCTGTGTTTTTTGTTTTTAGTGAATGTTTTTTTTTTTTTTTTTTTTATAAGAAATTTGTTATACTTATGTATTTTATGTACCTACAGATCTTTTTTATTTGTTATACCTACCTTATATTTCTGAAAACCCACTTCGTCTTAACCTAGACTTCACAAATTTACTAGTTCTTATTATACTTCTTATCTTACTTTTATAAATTTTAGTCTACATTGAAGAATCGCTCAATAATCAATACAATATATTTTTTTAAATATTACTTACGAACGTTAAAAAAAATTTTAAAAACTTATATTGTAAAATAATATAATATATTATATTTGTTAGATTACATCATTTAAATAAATTGTCGATATATTAATGTGACTTAAAATTAGTTCCAAGTTCTGTTATTTGTTAATATAATGAATATCGTCCAAATTCACGTTCTATTTGATATAACTGATATAAGTGATGTTTACGTATCGTTCTAGACTTTTGCCTCCTCGCTCCTGGTGAGTGGTGACTACTAAAACCAACTATAGTATATTTTTAGTGTAAACAATTAACAAGTAATACTCGTAAATTTATATGAACTTGGCCAATAATGAAAATCCAGTTTTTTCAATGACTAGTGGGTCCAACTTCAAATAGTCAACAGAGTTAACAATAGGTGTCATTACTCATTTATACATGTATATTTAATTAGTAATTAGTAATTACCAAGAAGGCAAGAACACGAAAAACCGAGATTTTTCTATTATAAAAATATTACTGCTCTATTTTAAATTTTCTATTTGATTTAGTACATTGAATGATTGTTTAAATAATATATTTACTTCATACTACGAAATGCACTATAATTTTGTAGTTACGTAATTTGTGACTGATAATAACAATAAATAATAATGAAATAATAGATTATAAAATAGGGACTTGGAATACGAATGTTATTTTTAGTTTCCGAGAAACGATAAGATTAACTACTACCATCTACTATCACCCGGTTAAAATATAAACGACAATAATTTTATTAATTAAGAAACATGCAGTTACCGTACGGCGTACGAGGAACATGTTCGTTTTGTGAAACCTTTACGTTAACGATTTATAATTTTATATTACAACACTAATTGATAATCGGTGCATTTCTTGCGTTATTATTTGCTGTGCAGTACTGCAGTCTGCAGTTTTACTGCAACTGGATGGCGGATGCATCGAATTTTGGTAGATATTCGACGACGTCGCCCGTCTCAACCCTGTTTGTCTAAAACCCGCATTGGTTAGGACTCGGGAGAGAACGCCTAGTCACGAAACAAGATGCAATTTAACATCATCTCCAAGCCACAACAGGCCCAGTCGGAAAGTTGTCGCGCAGCTCACAACACGCTTTCGTATTTATTCACGTTTAAGACGATAGAAAAATATTTAAATTTATTGTTGTCGAGTGTAGTTAATAATTTACTATTATAGTGAAGATGTTTGCGCGTGCGCGACTGTTGCTCAGTTTGTCGTAATTTGGTGGTACGCAACGTCGCGAACTCGCAATTCTTATTAACTCCCATATTCCGTCTGGTTGTCTATCATCTCCAGTATCTCCACAGTGGCACAGTTTGCGACCGACGTGCAACGAAAGTGTGTTTAGTGTTTATATTTCAACTTGGAAACGTCGTCGTCGTCGCTGCGGTATCCGCATTAATCACCCGACGTGGTTCTCCGAAATCTTCCGTGCCCAAAGCTCTCCGGTATCCGCCATGACAGTTTACCTGGACCTTGGGCCATTGTTCTTTTCACTACACTCCGACAAACTGTTTGAAGTGCTGTACAGACGGACCGACAAGCTCCAGTCGACCATTAGCATGCTGTGCAGCCGCTTCGTGGCTAACGTCAGGTAAGCACCGTGCTCGTATTCGGAACAATACGGTCATCATGCGACGATTAATAGTGCGTGTGCAAGACTTGATCATTGGGTTGGTAGGGGGGAGGAGGCAGATGACTTGGGTCGAACTATTTTTATGTATACGTCTATGCAGACAGTGCAATTGTTTTGATCGGCCATAATCAGCCTATATCTTTATTTTTTATTATGTGAGTATAATATTTTGAAATTATGGTAAAGGGGGAGTGTGAAGCTAAATTTTTTTTATAAGAAGACTGAATATAATTTTAGTACGTATAGATATATAATTATCCAAATCATTTATTTTATACAATTTACGATAAAAAAAAAAAAATTGTCCATGTACCTAGGGGGAATTAATTAGATCCCATCCCCCGACCCAGGGCGTTCTAAAAGTTCCATAGATAAGTTGTGAATAAGATAAATACCTAACTCAATATATTTATTTACATCTTGTGTGACGTGATTGTAATCAATGGATACAACAGTTTTTTATTAGAAATCTTGATATGGGTTAGTAATTGATAAGTTTAGGAGGGTTGAAGGACAGTTAGAAATTTTCTAGATAGGTTAGATTGTTGATATTTAAATTTTTATACCATAATTTTTTTTGGACACATATTTTTATAATCACTGCAAAACAGTTAAATTATAATCAGAGCAATTGTTTTTACCACATTATCACTTTAATTTTATTAAAGTATACATTTTGTTTGTTCAATTTTTATTTATTAGGCTTATGAAGTTCTTGGTATTGGAAAAATAAAATCAATAAACAAAACTAAATCATTGTGACTGACATAAAATCATAATAAAAAAATCTGATTACTATTGTGAATTTAATTTTTTTTTCAGATTACTAAAAATATTTATTTACTATATAATAATTGTATAAGTTGAATCTAATTTTAATACTTTGTTTTAATAAACTAAAACATTTATATAATTACAACACATTTTTAAAATTAACTTCAGAAATATATGATATTTATATTTAATTTGTGTTATTTTAACTTTTCATATGTTTTTTTAGAAATTCTGATTTGTCAAATGATGAAAATATAGAATATGAAGAATATAGTGATGATGAGTTTGATTTACATTCAGATAAATTTAAATTAGGCACTACTGTTGTTGAAAATGGATCATTAAATTTTAAAATGTAAGTAATTCTTTTATTTAATCATTTAAAGAAAAAATTATGTATTTCAACTTTTAAAATTACTAAAAAAAATGTAGGTTTTGTTTAAATATTATAAGCATTATAGTAATCAAAACGTTTTATAGCATTAAAATAAATTAATTTTGTATGTTTTAATTTAAATTGTAGATATATTTTTGAATTATCTACCTCTTAAAATGTAATAATAAAAAATATGTATAATAATTTTATATAAGTAAAGATCAATCAAAATTGTTAAGCTTGAAATACTTTATGATTGCAGGAATCTTAGGTTTTAATTATATCAGTTAAAATATTATAAATTTAAAAAATCTTAGTTAATTTACTATAAAGAATATTCAAAATCAAAAAAGTAATTTAAATATTCTAATTTGTTGTTTATTGTAGGAAAGTATATGATAAAGGAGCACACAAAATTAATGCAGCTCTTAAGAATATAGGTTTAGTAGTGTGTAATTCTAATTCTAAACAATATAATATGGAGCCGTTACAGATATATTATTATAAGAATAATATTGCCAGTTATCTTCCAAATGGAAATCATTATTCACCAAAATCAGATGTTAGTGTATTTTTGTTTATTTTACTGAATAAAATTGTATTCATGTAGCTTAAATCTATTTACCTAATCAATTTTTATTAATTGTGTTTTAGAATTCATTAGATAGTCCGGGTAAAAATTATTACGAAGAAAGTGATTACAAGTCAGTTTTTTTAAAATTATCTTCAGAGAAGGAATTTGAAATTAATGTTGATGAGAATAGAGTATGCATGAACATTTTTCATATATCTTATTTCATATTAGATTTGGAATGTTTATTGTTTTGCATAATATATAAATTAACTATTTTACAGGGATGGCATTTATTCATATATATATTATATAATATATAGGTTTGTCTGATTTTCATAATTTTTAGTTAAGAAATGTTTTAACTTTACCTCATTAAACTACATATGATTTGTTAAAAAGCCCTTTAAGTATACAAGTTTGAATTTATAGGACATAACTACTTTTTTTTTAATACTTAATTTTTTATTACTTTATAAATTATATAGGCTATTAAAAACATAAGTAATTTAATACTATTCCATATTTATCAAAGTTTTTTAAATGCAAAGAGAGTCTTATATTGAACTACTTGGCATCTTTTGCTAGAAAATTTAATATGGTTGTAATTTATATTATTACATTAAGTTGCGTCCACCATATTAGTGTAACATTTTTAATGAATTACTGTCTAAAAAAGCTTGACTATAAAGAAATCTATTTGTTAGAATTATAATCAAAACCGACCAATTACTCCAAAAAGTACTGGATATATTCGCACAGAAAAAAAAAGTTCTCATAGGCCCAGTAATCAGAAAAGATTTTCCAATAAATATTGGACAATGAGGCATATGTTATTTTCAAAATTTGAACATGGTATTCTTCTTGACGATGGTATTTATAGTAATACAATTTATCTTTGTCTCTTATTTTTTTTTTATATTAAATTGTGTTTTTACAGAAAGCTTTTATTCTGTATGTCCAGAAATATTAAGTTACCATATAGCAAAACGTTGTAGAAATGACATTGCCTTGGATCCATTTTGTGGTGCTGGTGGGAATATAATTCAATTAGCATTTACAAGCAAATTAGGTAATGTTACATATTTTATTATTTTAAAAATAAATTATAATGTAGGTTTTGATAAAAATTGTTATTTTTTTTTTTTTTTTTTAGTTATAGCAATTGATATAGATCCGTATAAAATAAAACTAGCACAAAACAATGCCAAAATATATGGTGTAGCTGATAAAATTGAATTTATTGTTGGTAATTTTTTTGAAATTTTTTCAATGTTAAGAGCTGACGTTATATGCATGTCGCCACCATGGGGTGGACCAAAATATTTGTTTGATAATAGCTTTAGTATTGCGTCCATGTGCAAGAATTATAAATTTGGTGGTTTTACTATTTTTGATATTGTTAAAAATATTGCTCCAAATATTGCATTTCATATGCCTAAAACAACTAATATATTCGAAGTAGGTTATGGTTAAGTTCAAGTTTTTTTCAATTAACATATTTTTTTGTAATAAATTTTCAGTGTTTATGGTTAGCAAGATTTTTTGGGAAAGTGGAAGTACAACAGAATATTATCAATGAAAAACTGAATTCAATTACAGCATTTTATGGAGACTTTATTGATTTAACTAACAATGACTATTAAAAAAATAAATATAACTAATATAAGCAAAAAAATAATTTTATAACATCATAGCATGTGTATTATGACGTTTTAATATTTTTTAAGTAATTCTAATGTTGAACGTATAATTTAAAAATGTTTTACTTTATCTATTATAATTTATTACCATGTTAGATAAGGTAGTAAAGACGAATTGCAAAAAAATAACTACTGTAATCAGAATACTGAATGGTCTAACTAATTAACAATATTATAAAAAATAATATTAATTACGTGGATATTGTATTATTGTTTTATTTTATTTCTAGCTTCGTATAGAAAATATTATTAGGTTGAACTCGATATGATTTTAACAATCGATAACTTAATAAAAGACCTACCTTTATATTGTTAACTAATTCTTAAATGTTATAAAATCTATATTTTTATTAGTGATTTAACTGATATTATAGACCAATAATAATCAACATATATAAGTTGATTTTGTGTAATATTTTAGTAATTTATTACCAGTTGCTATGTTATAGTAATTGACAATATAATTTATATTTTATAGAATGAAGTATGTAGTATATATACAATTCCTAAATCCTTTTGGGGTTTTCATTTACTATTTATATGTTAGTCTTTCTGAGAATTTATATATTATTTATAACGTAGAATGTTCAGCAGTATCAGTAAGGTTAATTGGATTTCAGTCATTAATTATTAACTATTGATTTTGGATGTTGCTGTCATTAATGATTCGTCAGCGTGTCTCGTTCTTCCCTATTGAAACTTACGTTTATTTTTAGATAGAAAATAAGTCTATTTACATAATAGTTTTTGATATTTTAGGGAATTTATTAGTACTAATTATTATGTGAAATAACGTGAACATGGAAAATTTATAATTATATATCAAACTTTTATTTTGCGTTTATTATATCTGGTTATTAGAAATTGTGTAGAACATAGGTTGCACTGGAGACTGGTTAAGTGAAGCTTATAAGACTAATTGAACTGTTTTAATTTAACGTGTACTCGAGCAGAATGGTCAGCCGTATTTTAACTTTTTACAATTATTAATGATTATATTATCAAGACTCAACAGATAACAATAATTATCTCGCGGCGATAATTTGATAGTTCGTGTAGGTAACCGCACGGTTGTTGTAAACAAAGACGGTTTGTGTGGTTTTAAACATCGCTTTCCTGTGAAAAAGACGCCAGCCCGACCGTTCTGTGATAATAAATAGTTATATAATAGCGTTTTGTTGATAACGTTTGAAAAATGAAAATTATGTGTTCAACAATATAACGTTTTTCATGCGTTTGTGTAACGAGTTCCTGTTCGAGTCAATGGTTGTCAGACACACAGTGACGCTCATTAATAATAATAGTTATAGAAATTACTGGCAAGCCACACATTTGATGACTATTAAGCTTTTTTGTGTGTGTACTTAACCGATTACACAATCTCGTTCAACTTGAATGTGTTTCGTTGTTTGACATCAATCTTAAAAATCATGCATTCTCCACTGTTCTGTTACCCACCGGTGACCAATACCAGTAAGTGTATTACAAGTTATTATCACAAAGACCTTATTTTTAATATTTATTTTTATTTTACAGCTCTATCATCAACATTATTAACCTCTGTTGATCCAAACAAGTACTGTTATTCGTTGATTGAGCGTATCAGAGTGATCACGAACTATATTGACGATGCAGAAGAAAGAGATTTATACAACATCTATAGAGAGATTGTATTTGAAATTTTTGGACGGGGCTCCGATAAAGGATGGGCATTAGATAAACTCAAGACAAATGTATGTAATTTTGTTTAAATTAGTATATTGTATTAACATATTTTATTGATAGGTAGGAATAATTTATTTATTTTGCTATTAAGCTTTAAGTACATGAAATAAATAAATGATGTTGACCAAACTGTGTAATGATTATTATTTAATTAAAGTAGCATATTAAATTTCAATGTAAATAACATTTTCAAACCAAACTCTATGTAATTTTATTATTCAATATTTTTTCAACCATTTAACCATATAATATTAAGATTTTCTTTTAGTGATTATTGTTTCACAATTTTTTCTTTATTTATTGAATAAATATAGATACTAGAGTTATTTAACAAACTTAACAAAATTGTATAAAGCGTTATATAACATACAAAAATTTTTAATTTTAGTTAGACATTCATTTTTCTCAAAAAGCTAATGATAATTGATATTTTTAATTAAAATAATGATAATTATTACTGTACTTGGTGAGTTAAAAAATTAGTGTTCAATATTTTAAATAATAATGTATGATAATTTATTATACATATAATGAAATTTTTCTTTAACAATTATTAATGAGATAAAAAATGAATATCTTATGATAATAGATTGACAATATTTTGCTGCTGTGACATAATAGGTGTCCATTATTAATGATAATTAATTATTACAGGTAAATGATGATGTAATATACATTTGCCAAGAACCAGATAGCGTGTATCACTTTTTATGTAGCAGTGGCCATATTTTTAAATTATGTTACAAGTTGTTGTCTAACAATTTGTTAAAATTTAGTATTTATTTTTCTGATTTACCAGTAAGTATACTTATTTATTATACACTTTGGTATTAGAATATTTTTGGACTTATTTATTAATAAAATATATTTTAGATTGAGCTTAGACAAAAAATTGATAAATCATTTGGACAATCTTATTATGGTTCACGGTTGTTGTACCATGCTGATTCAATTTCACCCATTGGATTAAACTTGAGTATCCTTTTTATAAAATATTGATTCCAGAGACGCACAGTAATGATTTATAATATACTATTTTTGTGTATATATTATACAATTAAGATACTTTTAAATGAATCATAGGAAGTTTTTGTTGTTTGTTAATACTTATTAGGATTTGACTGTAAATAGATGCTTTTTTTGTGTTGTATATAAATAATCATTTTTTTCAAATTTTTCTTTAATTTAAACATTAGATGCTTTTGAATACTATATGTTTCATTTTGCCATTTATGGGTTAAAGTTAACCTCTGATGATATTTACAATGAAAATAATAATTCTAACGAACAATCTGTGTACAAATTATTGTGCTTAGAGTATTTAAAATTTTTTTTGCCTTTAGACAATTCTGCATCTATGATTTTACCTCAAATACAATTCAATGTTTTATCACCAATTCCTAACCAAAAAAAAAATACAAATACCAGGTATATTTAAAGTAATATTTAATACCAAATTTGTTTTTTCATTTAAAGAAAAAAAATAATTTTTATTTATTTTATATTGTTCTATCTTTATCAATTATTATAACTTTAATTCATTATGTGTTTTCATTTTAGTAAACTATTGAATTTTATAAAAAAAGATGTTGCTTTTAATGATATATTGACTGATAAAATCCAAAGGTCATCTTGGATGTTAACATCAGAAGCAACATGGCGTAGTGAAGTTGTAGCATTTTTTTTTGCTGACCTCTGGTTAAATTATAACTTGTTTAATAATGTAAGTATACAATATTTGCTGCATTTATTTGCATTATATAATTTTAAAATGCTCATAACTCGTTTAACTCAGCGATGGTTGCAATGTAAGCACCACACTCGCATTTAGTTTTTGTATTTATGCACCAGTATATTATTTTGTTACATATAATAAATAACTAAGATTCCTTTATTGAAGTATAAATTTTAATTTATTACTTTTATATTTATCATTGGGACTTTTCCAATATTTATTAATTTGTAAACCATTTATTTTGCATGCAACTGAAGCCTGAGACTTAATTATAATTAAAAAGTTAATCATGGTAATCCGTAATCAACAAAAATATAATTTTATTTAACTATGAAAAAAATTATTGACAACTAATCAGTTTCTGATTGTTACTTTAGAGCATAGATCATTTTTTACCTTCAAATTTGATAATACTATTTGTAATACTAAAACTAAATACACAAAATTGGTTTTACTGATCATAAATTTGCCATTTTGTATGTTAGTACAACAGGAATTAAACACCATTGAAGCATAGTCTTATAAGAATGATTTTAGTGTTGCTTTCAATATTTGGTTGTCAATAATTCTGAATGGGTTATCTATTGTAAAGTCAATGTCATTATCAATAAGTTTTTACAACTTTTATTTTTATTTTATTCCAGGTACCATGCATTGAATTAACTAAGCTAATTAGATGTTTTATAAAACATTTACATTTGTATTCAAACTGTGCTAAATATCCGCCAGTAGACAATTTAAAACTGTAAGGTCATTTTTACGTCAGTAGTTAGTAGGTATTGTATTAAACAGTATACTAAACACTTTTTCAGAATATTGTTGGTTCGTCATGGTATAAAAATCTATCAGTATTTATCATACTACATGGTTAATTGGCCACAGGATTTTTCATTTCGCCTTTTGCTTGAGAATTGGCTTTGTTATATTCAACCTTGGCGTTATGATGATTTATCTAAGCAGTAATACATTAAAATTACATTTAAATTTATACATTCAAGTGTATTAAGGTTCTTTTTTTTTATTTAGGCAATGTTCTATCACAGATTTAGAAATGAATGATAAATGGAGAATATTTGTCATCAGAAACTTACTGTGTTATACCAAATTATTTTATCTTGCTATACAAAGATTTATTTGTATTGATGTGTGTTCACCAAGATATTCAATTATGGTTTATCGGATGTTAAAAGTGAATAATATGAGTTTAATTAATTTGCTAATTAAAAAATGGGTTTAATGTTTATATTATTATTATGTTTAAGGTTTATACTCACCCATATTTATTGAAAATGGTACTTGATATAGAACATATGTATATGAGCAACCAACTACAACATAAAAAATGGAATATACTATTGAGTGAATGTTTGCTTGAGGCCGAAGGTCCATCGTTCAAATATGAATTAATGTTTTCAGAAGAACGTAATCGTGAAGTAAATAATAATTTTTAACCATTTTAGAATTTATTATTTATTTATATACTTAACCATATATTAGTTTTATTGATAAAAATATGTTATTTTAAATTTTTTAAATGTTGTACAAGAATGTGCTTAACAAAATAATTTGTTATTTAAAATATTAAAGATATTCAATATTCATTTTTTTCCAAGCATAATATGAAATTTATTGCTTATGTTTTTTTAAGTTTTGTCTGTTTTAAATTATTCTTTGAAATGATTGGCAAAGATCTTTTTTTGTCATGTATGTTAATAATTATTTCATGTTAAATGAATTCAGTATAATTTATAAAGTAATGAAAAAGATAAAGAAGCATGATATTTATTTAACTACATTATTAAGAAATATTTTAACTGATTGTATACGTTTATGGGTTATAGTGCTGAGAATTTTTTATTTTTTATAAGTTAAATTTTATTTTTTTTATGTAACATATAGATACTAAATATTAGTATTTTAATAACTTATTTTTTTTTTTTATCTATAGCCATTACTTTTTATAACTCATTAATTATTAGTCTTTAACTATTCATTAGTACAGAACTGTTAACAACAAATACGAATAGGGTCAAAAAAATTATAATACTATCAGGCAGCGCTATATTATCATTTACATTTTCATTATTATCACAAACTTCTACTCTGTAAAAATAGTGTTTATATCTGTGATTATTCTTTATATATATATATATATATATATATATATATAAAACAACATGAATTTGTGATCATTAAGAATTTTGTTTTTATTTGTATGATTCCAATAAAAATGTAACTAATTGAATCAATAGTGTCATCTAATAAGATGACACTTTTCAATGTATGATTTGTACAATATTTATTCCATATTTTTAGTTTAGTAATGATGAGTCATTATAATTAGTAATCATGGTAATAATACATTTTGTTTTTAATTTCAGTATAAACTATTTTATTTGAAACTACAAAAATCACTAGATTATGTTGCTGTGGAATTGAATCGCTTTCAAGAAGACACAGTTGATAGAAATAATTCATCAATGTTGGAATTAATATTAACACCTAGAAAAAATAAAATATCGGATTATACTCTTGATGAATGGACAGATATTCAAACAAATCTTAAATCATCATTAATGTTCATGGAGCATATTATTGTGAGTATATTATTATACATATATAAATTTTCTTTAAAAATAAATTATTTATAATTAGTTTTCAATATTTTAGAATGTTAATGTTACAACTATACCAATGATGACCGATTTTTCAACATGGTCTATTTCTGGCACCAGTGGAAATAATACTACGTCTAGCATCTTCAATAAAAGCCATTCATTTCTTCAGTCTTTTGAAAGAGTAAGTGAAATCAATATTTTGTTTTTATTTGCTTATGATATTAATTTATTTTTGTTTTCAGAGTGCAATAAATTTATCTTCTAGACCTGTAATTCGTGCAAAAGAATGGGAGATTGACCCAGATTATTTGGAAGCTTTATCATATGAAAACTATTTCCTTGTTAATTTAAGCAAATACTTAAGAAATACTGTTGAGTCATATGTAAGTAGTTCATTGTCTTAAGTTATATTTAAAACTTGTAAATTGAATTAAGCTCTTGTTTTTATTGAGAGGACTTCATGCCTATATGCATTATAAATGGCTAATTTACGTTTAGCAGAACCAATTTTGTGTTATTAAATTTACTATTATTGTAACCAGTATAACTTTTTATGAAAGTATAATGTTGGAACACAGAGACCTATGTAAAATATAGAAATTTAAAATTTTTCAAAATTCCCTTAAAAAACCCTACAATAAACATAAATAATTCTTATAATGAATTTTTTAGTGGTTTATCACTCTTATATTAAAGTTAACTACACTAAAACGAAGTCTGCTAAACACATTTTCTATGCCGTACATTTCAAAACATTTTGACTTCATTAATAATTTAATTTTCAGTTCAATTCATATATACTGCGTTTTTCGACAGAAAATTCCATTTTTTCTGGCATAATGCGTCAAGCATTATTAAGAAAACCAATGAAGATATTTTCCTACGAGCCTAGAAATGATGGATCTGGAAAACGTGTCAGAACACCTAAAATTCTTCCACCCACTATAAGTTTTCGGTGGATGGCATCATACTTTATGCTTTTTTGGATTTTATTTTTGTTAACATTAACTCTGGTATTTAACAACATTAGCTTTTGGATAGGCCTATTCTTTTTCTTACGTATTATATATTTTTATCTTAAATATTTGTTCGGCTATGCACCACCATTCAAATGGGACAATATTCATGAAGACTAGTTATCTTGGTAATGTTTTTCTCATTCATATTGCTAAATGTCATTTTTAAGTTATATAACTAAATTTGTACTGAATTTAAACTTATTAGTATGATTATTGTTTTTATATATTTGTATTGTTTTACAACTTGAAATTAAGTTAAATGTGTGCATCTTTCTTGATAAACAAATTTATCTTACAGTTATATAAATATTATATAAGATAAAATTTGGTTTTGAATGATATTTTCCTATTAATTTTATTAATCATAAAATACATTTTTGTATTTTTATTTACCTATTAAATATTAGTGAATATTGTTGGTAAATATATTCTTATCCAAATATAACAGAATATATAATATATAATTGTTTTAAGTAGTATATTGAATAGTAATGAACACTGAAATAATTTTAAAATAGCATTGTAATTAGAATATTTAGTAAATATTTTGAATGAAAGTAAAAAATTAAATGTCCAAAACTTACTTAACTTAATCCAAATTGTCAGTTATTTCAATCAAAATTCATCAACATTTTGTTAATTATACTGATGGCCCAAGTATTAAAATAATTTTTTTAAATCGTTGTTTTGTCAAATTGAAATTAATTAAAACACTCTTTCAAATTTTGTTCCCAAGCCCTATTAATTTGGTTATGATATTTCAAATGTATAGTTTTAAATATTCATTATTTGGAATTGAAATTAATAAGTAAAAAATAGGTATTATAAAGTAGATTTATCAGTCTATATTACTAAGTATACTTCATGATGTTTTTGATAATACTATTAATGAAATTTATTTTATTATTAGTAATACAGTAAGTTGATTTAATTTTTGCTGAAAACATAGCATTTATTATATTATTAATATAAAAGTATATATTCTATCATATATTATTATTGACTATTGAGTCAAAAATAAATAAACACCACCTTTACTGTATAACTGTAAATAAATTCACAGCAGAAATAAAAGCAATGACTTAAAATAGAAGCCAGTTGAGGTTATCTTGTTGTATATACTCTATCGGCGACATTGTGTCTACACTTGGCAGTATGTGGTGTACTGTGTTTAACAACTCTCTACAATTATAATAAGATTTTAGACATTTATTCTCATAATAAGTGAATGATGTAAAAGTGGTTTTAGCTTTTTTAGCCAGAGGTTGATATTCATTATTAATTTATCAAATAAAGTTTTTAAAGATAAACTGATGATCATTTCAATAAATTCTTCATATTCTGTTATAGATGTCTTCAAGTTTATCGTTAATTCTTGTATTATATTGAATATTCAAATGTTTTAATTTAACACTAAGAAAATATAGGTAGTTAGTTAAGTACATTATTTAATACATTTATAGACTCCATAAACACTCCATGGCCAAACATAATTAAATTTTTCTCATGTATAATATCATTGATTATAGAATATAATTTAATAATATATATAATATTATTACAATTAATTATTATATAAATTAACAAATTTACGGGGTCCATGGTATCTGCCCCTCTCCAGCGCTTATATAATATTAAATAATTTATAATAATTCATAATATTATAAAATATATAATTTTTACATATTTATTACTTTTTAGAACCCCTCACCAAAATAATTGTTGAAAAATCCACTGCTGTCTATATAAAATATTATAATATTATCTATAATTTATTATAAAAATAATATATACTTATAAATACCTATTCTATAGACTCAGTATAGAGTATAGACTTAACATCCCAATCATCACAGATCAAAGTGGGTAATGTAGGAGCTAACATGAGTTTTTTACCGTGTAAAAATGTACATAGAAACTTACATTCATCCATTGTACCTACCTATACATTAATATCTAAGTTAACACATTATAATAACACGATATCACGAAAATAAGATCTTCTAAACAGTAAACCTCCAAGTTGTAAGAACTAATTGTAATTATTTATAACTATAGTTTTAACTACATGTCACAATAAATTCATGCATATGCATTTACAATTTTAAAAAGAGCTAAAAATAATTATTTCAGAATGTTGTAGGTAGATGAGTAGGTAGGTATCTAAAAACTAAATGTTTTAAAAAGATTAAAGATTAAAAAAATAGTTATTGACTGTGACACGATTTAATATATTATACAGGTGAATATAATACTAAATTGGTACTGAATTTGTAATGATTTAAATGTATCCATATTACATTATTACCTAATGTTGTTAATAGTCAATAGGTCCCTAAAGCTAGGAGTGTTGAATTAGTATTTTAGCAGTAGAAAATCTATATTCTATATATTACAGAAATAGCATTCGTAAAGCATATTATTTATAATAGCTCATTTTAAGAAATTTTAGTATTCATATTGATAATATCTTACACATTTACACTAATCAGTAATGAGGTTTACCTATAGGTACTCGTATACACATAACTAAAACTAAATAATTTAAAATAAACTAATTAATAATTTGTTGTTGTATGGAAAAGCCTAGATAAAAACATTTATTATTAAGCTCAAAAATATAATATAAGAGCACATTCCGACCATCAAACTTCAACCCTTTTCCTCACTTTTATAAAATGTTTTTAATTACTATACCTACATTTTTTACGATTATATATAATTTTATATCATCTAAAAATATGTTAATATAACAATATACTCGTATTAATCAAAATAAGTAGGTACCTAGGTATAGGTATGTAATGTTTTTAAATTTTATGATTTGTACAACAATTGTACACTTCGGAATTTGTACAGTGATTATTGTACACATCGCGAATTGTATAACACAACTTGTACAATCTAGTTACTTTGTACAACAACATTGTACCTACACTTCGCAATGTGTACAAAAATCACTGTACAAATATTTTTTAGTGTCAAAGCTAAAATTTAAAAACACAATTATTTATAGAATAAATGAAAAAAAAATAATTTTATATTTCTGTATAGGTACTGAATGAAATAATTAATAGCTAATAATAACTTCAATGTTTCTATAGTTATTCATTTAATTTTAAATAATTATATTTCAGACGATTACATCATGACGATATCATCAAGTTAGTAAATATACTATTGCTATTAACATTTAAAATTAAAATATTGTTAAAGTATTAAAAATATATTACCTAACTTTTATTTATTATGTATTAATTTTTTTTAAATTCTGTTACATTCATATAATATTAATATAATATATAATTAATTAATATAATATTAATTCATACAACGCTACCTATTGGCAGCTATTATAAATACAATTTTAGTCATCGAAAATCCCTATACCATTGTCTATCTGTCTATTCAGTATTCTATAATCAATGATAATAGTATAAAAATATTTTATATTATAAAATAAGGCTATCACCACAGACATATACATTGGCTATCACTTACCACATAACGAGCATAATATAGACTAAAATACGCGTAGTACCATCAATATTTGTAATAGGAAATGTACAAACCATATATAATATATATGTATGGTTATTATTTATTACGAATAGAAGTGATAATTGTCGAAGACTGACTTAAATGCCCATTATAAGCGTTATTTTAGATTAGTTCATGATGAAAATTATTAAACACGAAAATATTGTATTTTTATATTATAAAATATCCCTATACCACTCAATTACGCTTATCTAAACTTTAAATACTAATAATTAAAAAACTATTTATCCAAATTTCGGTTTTCATATCATATCAAAATACTCCAGAAAATATTCTGCTTTATAAAATGTTTAAAGAATTTTTGTTTTATTTCCATTAAAAATAATATAAAAAAAAATTATAAAATAATGAGTGTTCGTTAAAAAAATCACTGTATTTATTGCTGCAATACTACCTATACTATATCTTCGTTGGACATAAATCAATAACTGATAACTGAATATTAGGAATATAATCACTAGGCGGCAGGTACAAAATGGAAATAAATTGACGGTGAAATGAAAAACTAGTATCGAATTGGTTCCCGTTTAAAAAAGGTATTTTATTAAGCTGAGTTGAATTGGTTTCCGTTTCTGTTCAGCTGTTCAGGTCAAATAGTTAAAATTCTCATTTAGAAGCAATTTTTTGCAATATGAAATCATATTTATGTATAATTCGTACAAAATATAAATGAGATAGTTTTTAAAATATAAAATAAATGTTCCTACACTTAATAGCTACCTACCTACTTAATTCTATAAAGTGATAATATTCTATAAACGTAAACCAATTTGGTTAATCTCAAATCAAACAACGGCGAAACGGGATGCGACTCTTTAGCTAAGCCTGTAACGAGGTAAACGTATACAATTATATTGTTATTCGTATAATTTTAATCTAGTAGAACCTGTATAGAAAAATATGTAACTATACTGTTCATCTACATTCAAATATAAATGCATCTCGTCGTGCATCGTTGTCAGAGGCAGAACCACATGCCTCACACAGAATTAATAATTATTTTACCATCTGCCGGTTACTTTCGATGCTGTCGTGCATACAGAGAACTTAGTAATTCAATTTATATTGACAACGTACAGTATATAATATGCATTTTCTACTTGTATTATCTACTGTATCATTAAGTTCACTACGTATACAAAGTAGTGAGACCGCCGGCGGCTGAAATTCTCTGAGGGGGACGAATATGTGGGAATTCCAACCGGTTTTCGTCTGCCACCCGACGGTGCATTCTTACTTAAAAATAGAGTATGTTTATACTATGTTATAGGTACTTGTTATAGGTATGTTATGTAAAAAATGAAACAATCTAATGAGATTGTAAGCTGACCTTACATAATTCAACTAAAGCAATGCCTTCGAGAGTAATTCAACTATATCATGCGTTACATATAACATAAGTTTGTTTATGCTAATATTAAAATATGTTGGTATACTTAATGCATGTTTAACATTTGAAATCTAACTACATAACTAAGTGACCACCAAATGAAGACTAGTATTTTTTTTTTTATACAGTATGGTGAAAATAAATTTAGCATATTGTACTTACCTAATGTTTAATCAACAAATATTCAAGACCATTAATCATATTTTTGAAAATTTTCTTCTATTTAGTAAAAATTATCTTATTGTTCAAAGATTCAAACTGTTTTTTATCGTTAT